TCTCACTGAAGCAAGTGTTTTCCAAACCCTGCCTCTCAGAGAGACTTGTCACTTAGAAAATGTTCCCTGATTGTGAAACTTTGGCTGAATAGTGCTTGCATCGCTGAGCCTGTCTGAGGCAAAGGTCCAGAAGCTCATATCCTCTTCAGCTCAGAAAGCACCCTTGATTATGCACAAGCAGGTGACCTGTCATTTCAGGTCTTTATCATTTTTGTTTAGATTTTAAAAGATGACAATCTTTACATTTAGAATTGACACAGAGAAAAAAGGAATGCAGTAAAATAAAATATATTTTAAATAAATATTCATTCATAAATTTACAAGTACAGAGAGCAGCATTAGATGGATGAAAGAGCCGCATGCGGCTCCAGAGCCGTGGGTTGCTGACCCCTGCTTTAGAAGAAAGGCTTTTAGTGCTTCCACTTGTTGTTTTAAAGATGTGTCCAAGTCATTTAGAACAGAGGAAAGAGCCACAGTGAACTCCGCTTCAGTCGCCATGTTTATGAGAAACCCGGCGTTGTGGTGTGTGATGTACACTACTCAGTTCTGATTGGGTCGGTTAGAATTCTCAGGGGTGGGGTTATTTGAATAGGAGAGTTCCCAGACCCTTTCTCTGTGCAGAATTAAACAGAGGAGGAGTCTCGCAGGCCAGGCTAAAGTGTCCGCACTGAGATTGGGAGATCATGAGCTCAAATCCATGGTTGGGTCACACCAAAGACCAAAAACAAAACAAAAAAAAGGGACAAGTGACTTCCTGCTTGAAACTCAGCATTAAATTGTTCGATTGAGGGTTAAACCACAAATGGTTTCCAAGTGTAGCCATGTCTGCAGCTCACTGCTTCTGCAGGGGATGAGTTAAATCCGGAGAACAACATCCATGCTTTCGTTCTTTTTTAAACACAGAAACAGTTTTGTTTACCTGTTTGTAGCTACGGTTTCGCCGACAGCTGCCGGCTTCTTCAGGCTGACGCTGATGGTGGCGCGTCACTTCCTTCTCCGTTTATCTGCGGGCAGCAGAGGACGTTGTCGCCCTCTACTGCCCGCTCTCCCCTCTCCGACGATGCAGTCCCATGCGTGGTCCAGCGTGTAAACTCCGTCGTCCCTGTTCATGGTCCCACATCCACGTCTCCTTATCTCTATTGCTTCCTTGATCCATCTTTTGTATTTTTGTTGTTCGGTGGTTATGATCCGTGTGCTATCCCAGTCCATTATATGGTTTTCTCTTAAGCAATGTTCTGTTACGGCTGACTTTTTTATTGTACTTTCTGCTTCTTCTTTTGCTGCTCTTGTATGTTTATGCTAGAAGACAAAAATACATATGAAATACTTAAAAAAGATCCAACAGAAAACATTAAGAAAAACATGAAAAAATTACTGAAGCCACTGCACGAAAAAGGCAAAATAACAGAAAAAATGTACAAACACTGGATTCCCACAGCAAACATAACACCAAGAATATATGGAACACCAAAAATACATAAACAAAACACCCCACTTAGACCAATAGTTGACAGCATAGGTACACCAACATACAACATGGCAAAAGATATCAGCAGAATCATCAGCCCGTTATTAGGAAATACAGACCAATACTGCAAAAATAGTATAGAATTGGCAAAAGAACTAAAGGAAATTACAATAGAAGACAACGACATACTCATCTCACATGACGTCACATCTCTGTTCACAAAAACACCAACCCAAAAAACCATAGACATAGTAGTTAACAGAATCAGACAAGACAAAACTTTACACAAAAGGACAAACCTCACAGCAGACGACATAGCACAACTGATAGGACTGGTAGCTAACTCCACTTACTTCACATACGACAACACAATATACAAACAACTGGAAGGCTTCGCCATGGGTAACCCGTTATCAGCCACCCTGTGCGAGTTTTTCATGGAAGACCTGGAACAAAAAGCCATAGCCACCGCCCCCCCAAACTGCAAAATAAAACTATGGAAACGCTACGTAGACGACATACTGGAAATCATACCAAAAGGTCAAACAGAAACACTAACACAACACTTAAACAATATTGACGACACGGGCAACATAAAATTCACTTATGAGTTAGAAACAGAAGGCAGCATAGCATTTATGGACATGAAAATCACCAGGCAGACCGACGGGACCCTAAACATAAACACATACAGGAAACCAACACACACAGACCAATATCTATTATGGACATCAGAACACCCCACCATACACAAAATTACAGTAATCAGAACATTATATCACCGAGCAAACATAATAACAGAAGAGAGAGCCCGTAAACAAGAGGACAAACACATACAACACGCTTTAAAGACCTGCAGATACCCGACATGGGCAATAAACAAAGGAAAACAACAAACAAAAACAGAAAGCAAAGAACAACCCAAAAAAAGATACAGAAACCCAGAAAGACAAGAACCAAAACCAGTGATAACCCTACCATACATCAGAGGCATAACGGAAAAAATAAGAGCAACAATGAAAAAACACAACATAAACACACCAACAAAGCCATACACAACAGTTAGAAACAGATTAGTACACCCAAAAGACAAAATATCAGCTGGACAAAAATGTGGAGTCATCTACGAAATCCCATGCAAAATATGCAATAAAACATACATAGGAGAAACCGGACGCCAACTCAATACACGGACAATAGAACACAGAAAGGAGTGCGAGAAAGAGGCAAATCGTAAACACACAAGAGCAGCAAAAGAAGAAGCAGAAAGTACAATAAAAAAGTCAGCCGTAACAGAACATTGCTTAAGAGAAAACCATATAATGGACTGGGACAGCACACGGATCATAACCACCGAACAACAAAAATACAAAAGATGGATCAAGGAAGCAATAGAGATAAGGAGACGTGGATGTGGGACCATGAACAGGGACGACGGAGTTTACACGCTGGACCACGCATGGGACTGCATCGTCGGAGAGGGGAGAGCGGGCAGTAGAGGGCGACAACGTCCTCTGCTGCCCGCAGATAAACGGAGAAGGAAGTGACGCGCCACCATCAGCGTCAGCTTGAAGAAGCCGGCAGCTGTCGGCGAAACTGTAGCTACAAACAGGTAAACAAAACTGTTTCTGTGTTTAAAAAAGAACGAAAGCATGGATTTACAAAGACACAGCAAGAACACACCTAAGATGTTCCGGAGAACAAGTTTCACACACCAGTGTGTTTGACAACTAATGGGACTTTAACATTAGCTAATTCATGACAGATTTTCTCTCATCCTGACGTGAGCCACGCTAGGTAAATAATAGCTTTCAAATTTTGTCATTTTAGTTTCAGAACATGATTAAATTAAGTGAAGCTACTGGCCCTGCCGTGTCAACTGAACGTCATTAAGATAAATCTTTATTACAGAACACTGAAGCTGTTTTTGTAGCTGTTTATTTTCTAATGATTAAAATATTCCTCATTGATGTAGAAAACTATTTGTTATTAAAATCGTATAGAACACTTCATACAATCCACAATTTACAAAAATAGGATAGATAAAAAAAATTCTATCCAAACCAAACTTTTTTTTTCCATTTAGGACAAACAGCTATTTGATTGCACATTAAAGACCAAATACACTCTACGTTTGAAGTGGTCTCAAGTATAAATGAATGTCACGTGAGTCAATCTCTGTGGGAAAATATTCTGGTGCTTTTGTTTCAGGAACTAGAAGTTGTTAGTCAAGGTGTTCTCTGCTGTTTCTTGGGTGCTAAACCAACATCGTCATGAGTCAAGATGGGTGAGTCCATGAATGTTAAGTGACAGTGTGACGTAGATCTGTCAGGCTTTTTCTGACCCGAGTATTTCCCTGTCTTTTTTCCAGTGAATAATTCAGAATATGTGGTTATAAAAACTATTTTCACATTTAGCCAGCATGTGAAAATCGGTAAAACATGCCTTCTCTGTGAACTTGGTCTTTTAAGCTCATGCACATCCTTTGGTCTAGTTCTTTAATTCCACTCTCAAGCTTCTCAATCATTTAAGTAAAAACTTCAGATACAAGATGAGCGGCTTATGAAGCAGGAAGGGACCAACTAATTACATTAAACACAAAAATTACAGCTAGATTGTTGAACAAACAGCAGGTATGTTGATAGTTTTCCTTAAATTTAAACAAAGATACAGCTGCTGAACTCACTTCATTGCACCGATGTCTGTTCATCTCTCTGTGCTCCAGTCCGTTTGCTGTGCAGATTTGTTTTTAACCAGCTTAGGCAGCAAGTTCACCCACTTCCAGATGAAATGACTTATTGGGTAGAGACAGTCAAAGGTGTCTCTGTATTGTAATTAACGAAACACTAACATATCTAGCAGCAGTTTGTTTGGGATGGGTGAGAAACATGTTTAATGTGCAAGTCTAATTCATGATGCAGGAAAATTGGCAAGTGTGATATAAGATCACCGTCTTGCTTTGAATCATTGAATCATGATGAGAAAAACTGTTGGTGCCCATGAAAAAAACAACTGAATGATTTGTTTGTACAGAGGGATTGAAATTATGCTGCTGTTGGAGTACAAATGCAAAGTTTAGAGTGAAACATAAGTTTTATTCAGTCACATGGTGTACCTGCCACATCATTTCTTTTTTATGTTTTAATGTGGACATTTCACAGCTATAGAAAAGGTAAATGTGACAATGACACTTTTTCACAGTGGATATTACTTTCACAACTAAAACCTATGACTGTTCTATGTATGTATTTGGTCCATGCACAATGCCAATGTTGCAGCAAAACTGAATGAAACATGCACACATTTTTAAAACTCTGTTGCATATAGTTTACAATCACAGACTTGCAGCACCAACAGCTGCCATAATGACTGGTTTATCATAATCACTAACACCTATCAGTCTCCTTTGTGCCCAAGAGACTTTTACATAGAAGAGGCTTCTATGTTAGTGCTAAAAGCTGACAAGTATGTGTCATGTTCCTGGGAATGTGTTTAACCCACGACATGAAGAATCATCACAAGACGGGGGGGAAAAGTTCAAAACAATGATTTATTTAAGGAATCTAACAAAAGGTGTCCCTGGAATAAACCCAGAGTAGTTGGAGCCAGAGAGAGTCCAAGTTCTGCAGGTGGAGGCGGTCGAGGAGGGCAGGTGGAGTGACGGGGTGAGTCCAGGAGAGGGAGCCAGGCAGGGTGGCAGAGGAATAAGAGGAGAGGCGAACCGTGAAGTCCAGGAAGGTATGGTTCTTTCCAGGTGAGTAATCCAGTAAGGTTCTGCTTCTTGGATGGAGGATAATATCCAACAAACCCAGAGCGTCAGGGAAGATTGTCCAGTGATCCTGGAGAGAGGATACAAAACTTGAGTCCAAAAAATCCAACACAAGAGTCCAAGAATAATCCAAGAGATTTTCCAAGTCAATCATCAACTTAGAAACCAAGCAACCTAGAACGGGTGGCCAAAATACTACCATGAGTAGTTAATCATCCAGCGCTGTGTAGTGGTTCCCTCTCCTCTTAAATAGAGCTCTGCTGCAGATGACCTGAGAAGCTGCATCTGCCGCTGATTGCTAATACCCTGCAGCTGGTGAGCTCCCTCTCCTGAAATGAAGAGCTCAAAGATGTTATAGAGATGAAGAGTACTCACCCCACCACACAACAGTGCCCCCCCCTCAACGGACGCCACCTGGCGTCCTAGCAACCGTCTCCTCATACTCCCGGATGAGGCCAGGGTCCTCGATGAAGGAGCGCGGGACCCAGGAGCGCTCCTCTGGGCCATACCCCTCCCAGTCGACCAGGTACTGGACTCCACGACCGCGGGGACCGGAGTCGAGGATCCTCCGGACGGTGTAGACCAGCCCACCCTTGTAGAGCCGGGCCGGCGGCGGAGGTGCAGGAGTGGGGCACAGAGGACTGGATCCAACGGGCTTGACCAAGGAGATGTGAAAAACGGGGTGTACCTTCATGTTCCTGGGGAGGTCCAGCCTGACCGTGGAGGGAGTGGGCGTATCCAGGATCTTGAAGGGACCAATGAACCTGGGAGTGAGCTTCCTCGTAGAGGCCTTGAGCGGGATGTCCCGGGAAGACAACCAAACGTCCTGTCCAGGAGAGTACAGCGGGGCGGGACGCCGGTGTCGGTCCGCCAGCTGCTTATTCCTGGCAGCAGTACGCTCCAAAGCTGCCCGGGTAGCGGCCCATGCCCGTCTGGCCCCCCTGAGAAACTGCGGGATGGAGACTGAAGCCGAGGCCTGCTGCGGAAACAGTGAGGGTTGGTAACCCAGTGATGCTTCGAACGGTGACTGACCTGTGGAGGTGGATACATGGCAGTTGTGAGCGTACTCAATCCATGCTAGATGTGTGCTCCAGGCGGTAGGCTGGGAGGAGCAGACACAATGTAGCATGGCGCCCAGTTCTTGATTCATACGCTCACACTGCCCATTGGTCTGAGGATGGTGACCGGAGGTGAGGGCTACCCTGGCGCCCAGAGCCTCTGCAAACTCCTTCCAGACCCGAGCCACAAATTGGGGACCCCGGTCTGACAGAATCTCTGTGGGAATACCATGCAGTCTAAAAACATGCTTCACGAGGAGCTTGGCAGTAACGGTCGAAGAAGGAAGGCCTTTAAGAGGCACCAAATGACACGCCTTAGAAAACCTGTCAACCACCGTCATAATACATGTGAACCCCTGGGATTCTGGAAGACCTACTACAAAGTCAAGCGCAATGTGTGACCAGGGACGTGACGGACTGGGAAGGGGACAGAGGAGCCCAGCTGGGGCTCGGTGGTCCCCCTTTTGCTGAGCGCACACGTGGCATGCAGAAATATAGTTCTTAACGTCCTTATACATGGAGGGCCACCAGAAGGTCCGTTTAATAAGGGCTAGGGTGCGACCTACACCCGGATGAATGGAAAACTTCCCCGTGTGTGCCCAATGGATGACCTGTCCCCTAAGCGCCTGAGGAACGAATATCCTTCCCGGAGGCCCCTTTGGGCCTGCTCGGTCTTCAGTGCCTCCAACACCCTGTCCCGAATCTCCCAGGTGACCCCACCCACAACACATGATGAAGGGAGGATGGTTTCAGGCTCGGGCTCTTGGTCTGGTGCGTACAGTCTGGACAGGGCATCGGGTTTGGTGTTCTTAGAACCAGGGCGATAGGAGATCTGGAAGTTGAAGCGAGAAAAAAACAACGACCACCTATACTGGCGGGGATTAAGACGCTTATCTTCCTTCAAATAAATCAAGTTTTTGTGATCTGTCCAGATAAGGAACGGCGTTTCCGCTCCTTCCAACCAATGTCGCCATTCCTCGATGGCGAGTTTCACTGCGAGCAGCTCCCTGTCTCCCACGTCATAACGGCTCTCTGTCGGGGACAGCCGCCTGGAGAAAAATGCACAGGGGTGAAGCTTATTGTCCACGGGTGCTACCTGTGATAGGACTGCCCCCACCCCGGTGTCAGATGCATCCACCTCCAGCACGAACTGTCTCTGGGGATCCGGTCTGTGGAGTACCGGAGCGTCTGTGAAGCGCCTCTTAAGTTCCTAGAAAGCAGCCTCGGCTTCTGGGGACCAGACAAATGGGCGTTTCACAGAAGTTAGGTTAGTCAGAGGTGCAGCTACCTGGCTGTATCCTATAATGAAGCGCCGGTAAAAGTTTGCGAAGCCGAGGAAACGCTGCAGCTGCTTCCGTGATGAGGGAGTAGGCCACTCCGTGACCCCGCTGACTTTCTCTGGATCCGCTCGGAGTCTCCCGTGTTCCACAATGAACCCGAGAAACTTGACCTGAGAAACATGAAACAAGCACTTCTCTGCTTTGACATATAAGCGATTCTCCAACAACCGCTGGAGAACTGCTCTAACATGCTTCACATGCTGTGCAGAGTCCTCAGAAAAAATCAAAATGTCATCTAAGTACACAGTCACAAACTTATTCAAGAAATCACCCAACACAGAATTTACAAGTGCCTGAAACACCGCAGGAGCGTTAGTTAACCCAAAAGGCATAACTAAATATTCAAAATGTCCTATAGGTGTCTTAAAAGCAGTCTTCCACTCATCCCCTTGCCTAATGCGCACCAAGTGGAACGCATTTCGGAGATCCAGGCGGCTAAACACCCGCGCGTTCTGTACAGGCTCGAAGGTGGAACTGAGTAGAGGCAGCGGGTATTTATTCTTTATGGTGATCTGATTAAGCCCTCTATAGTTTATACAAGGTCTGAGGGTACCTTCCTTCTTCGGGACAAAAAAGAATCCCGCGCCCAGGAGAGAGGAAGAGGGACGAATGAGTCCGGCGGCCAGAGACTCCTGAATGTAGGTCTCCATGCTCTCCTGCTCAGGTCTGGAGAGATGGTAGAGACGGCTGCTGGGAAGAGGAGCTCCAGGCAGCAGTTCTATGCTACAATCGAAGGGCCTGTGTGGAGGGAGAGAAGTAGCTCTGTCTTTACTGAATACCTGAGCGAGGTCATGATACTCCTGGGGTACGTTGGACAAGTCTATCTTCTCTCCTGGCGGCGATCAGGACACGCTGCTGTCAGGGGAAGCAACTCCAAGGCAAGACAGGGAGCATCTCGGGCTCCACCCCTCCACGCTTCCCGTCTCCCAGTTCACCTGGGGATTGTGGCGGAGGAGCCAAGGGTGACCTAGTACTAACGCAGTCTGTAGGGAGGGAAAAACAAAGAACTCTATTTCTTCCAAGTGATTTCCCGACACCCTGAGTCTTACCGGAACCGTCCGATGCGTGATGGTGGTAAGGCTGTGTCCATCCAGAGCCGCTACCGCGAGTGGACTGGAGAGCCGGGTCGTGGGAATTCCCCACTGACGTACCAGTTCAATGTCAATCAAAGACTGTTCACATCCTGAGTCCAATAATGCATCTACAGGAAACTGTTTAGCATTAACATACAACATGCAAGGCAAAACACTACGGGACCCTTTAGAGTTCTGACTGCCCACCAGTAGTCCCGACTTTACCGGTGGGCACCCCCTTTTACCAGGACCGGACAAGTTCTAGCAAAATGCCCAGACCCCCCACAGTACATGCAAAGACCCGACCTCATGCGATGTTCACGCTCCTCCTGGCTGAGTCTGGTCTTCCCTAGTTGCATGGGTTCCTCCGGTGCGAGAACCGCAGGTGGGGAATGACTTACTGACCCTGAACGGCCCTCCACCACTCGACTTGATCTGATCGCCGGTGCAGAAGTAGGTACGTGGAGCTCCCGGTGTCTCTTATCGAGGGAGATGGCCAGCTTGATCAACCCCTCCAGGGACTGAGGTTCCGGGCACATAGCGAGCTGGTTTCTGATGCGGCTGTTTAGGGCCTCCGTGAAAGCAGCGATGAGAGCCTCATCGTTCCAGGTGGATCGAGCCGCCAGCGTTCAGAACTCTAGGGTCATCTCTGCCACCGTCCTCTGCCCTTGAGACAGCGTCCATAGCCTCCTGCTTATATCCATGGGGGACACGTCAGAACCAAAAGTCAGTTTAAAATCTGCCAGGAAAGTCTCCAAGGGACCTGCCAAAAAGGCAGGATTGTGGGTCTTAGCCTCTGCCCACCGTAAAGCCTTCCCACGTAGCAGTCCAACAATATAAGAAATTTGACTAACCTCAGTCTGGAAAACACCTGGAGATCGAGCAAACGCCAACCTACACTGTAGGAGAAAACTGTGGCACTCCTCGAATTCCCCGCTGTAAGTCTGAGCAGGTGGTGCAGGGGCGGCGCGGAAGTAGGTGGGTTCCGGGGCAGCGGCCCCCTCAGCGTTGGGTACAGGAACAGCGGGGTGTCCTTGGGAGGTGGAGGCGCCTCCCAGAGAGGGATTCTGTGCCTGGAGCTGGGTGAGACCCTGTTGGAGTTGGCGGATCAAGACCTCCAGCTGTTGAGATCTTTGATTCACTCCCTGGAGCTGCTCCATTAAGATGGGCAGGACCTGTTCCTGCTGAGTTAACCTGGAGCAAAAATTGGTTAATGATGATTCCACGGGGTTAGAGTTCTGGCTGGATGATTCGGTCATGTTCCTGGGAATGTGTTTAACCCACGACATGAAGAATCATCACAAGACGGGGGGGAAAGTTCAAAACAATGATTTATTTAAGGAATCTAACAAAAGGTGTCCCTGGAATAAACCCAGAGTAGTTGGAGCCAGAGAGAGTCCAAGTTCTGCAGGTGGAGGCGGTCGAGGAGGGCAGGTGGAGTGACGGGGTGAGTCCAGGAGAGGGAGCCAGGCAGGGTGGCAGAGGAATAAGAGGAGAGGCGAACCGTGAAGTCCAGGAAGGTATGGTTCTTTCCAGGTGAGTAATCCAGTAAGGTTCTGCTTCTTGGATGGAGGATAATATCCAACAAACCCAGAGCGTCAGGGAAGATTGTCCAGTGATCCTGGAGAGAGGATACAAAACTTGAGTCCAAAAAATCCAACACAAGAGTCCAAGAATAATCCAAGAGATTTTCCAAGTCAATCATCAACTTAGAAACCAAGCAACCTAGAACGGGTGGCCAAAATACTACCATGAGTAGTTAATCATCCAGCGCTGTGTAGTGGTTCCCTCTCCTCTTAAATAGAGCTCTGCTGCAGATGACCTGAGAAGCTGCATCTGCCGCTGATTGCTAATACCCTGCAGCTGGTGAGCTCCCTCTCCTGAAATGAAGAGCTCAAAGATGTTATAGAGATGAAGAGT